ATTGTATTTTTTTTAATATTTTCACAATACAGTACAATATTCTAAATTATGTAGTCTACTGGAATAATGCGCTATGCAAACAATTTTAGCATTGACATACATTTTGCTTCGTTACACATTTAACAAATATTAGTTTTCAAATCATCGAACATATTAAGTAATGCAAAAATTTCCACTCAATTTATTATATGTAGGTACTCTGATTAAACATAATTTATGTACATTTGCTTTTGCAACAACGCGCTATTGAGGCTTTGAAAAAAAATAAAAAACAAAAAAAATAAATAAATAGTACACAGTTGCAACGAAAAGTCGGTGCGCAACTCTTTTGTTTGAACAAATGTCAGTCATTGCAAATGTTCTTAATTAGTGCAAACAAAAGAATACATCAGCATGCACCATTTTGTCAAATTACAAACATTAAAAAACGAAAAATATTTTATAAGTCAATGGAATATGTATGTGTGTATGTACATTTGTTATCAATCGAAGGTCGTGTTCCAATTCTAGCGTCAGCGACAGCTGTTTGTTATTGTTGTTGCATGAACAATTGCTCTAAAAAACTTGAGCGTACTGCCCTTACATTATGTACACATGGAAAATTTGAATGCTTTGAGTGACCTCTAAATATTTTTTGATTTCAAAATAAAAAAATACACGTATACTTTTTTCGGTATAGAACAATCGTAAGGGGTGAGAGCATAAATAATCCGACTTTACTTTTTCCCACATGCTTTTTTGGACCACCCTAATGTTTATACATAGCTTTACCGTCAAACGCGTGCGTCGAGGAATCTTTGAGTCTATCATTGGTCGCTTGAAGATATTAAGTCAACAAAATAAAAACAATCATTAAGTTCATTTCCTCCATGCTGCCTGGGGAGATCAAAAAGTTTGTGCAAAAAAAGAAAGAAGTGTAAAGCGAAATATTTTTTATCTTTCCATTTTTTTCTTTTAAAAGTACAAAATATTTTGCCAAACTATATAAAAATTTATTCATCCGACCAAAAAATGTTTTGGCTATTAAAGCAGTTAAAGAGCCAACAAGTGTTACGCTAGAAGTAAATCAGTTCTCAGGGTAAGGGGGGTGTAAAAAATATGTTAAAAGCATCATATATATTAGTAATGAGAGTCGGAGTACAAGAAATTTTAATATGCTCTACTTCCCCCTTCATGCTGGCTCTAGATGTTACCCCTCATCTGGCACCTAAATGTGCCAAGCCGGCTACTAAGTGCAAAAGGCTCCCGGGGAGCCACTTTGCCCATCTCTGGTCTAGACCTTTATAGTTATCAGAATAGGGCAATACATTTCTTCATCATCGATCATTTTTTCCCTCGAAACTTTTTTCATTCTTGTGAACAAATTAAAATCTAAGCTAGGAGTCCAGTTTTCACTTTTACTTAACACTATATTTTGGGGTTTTTAAAATATTACAAATCAGATATGACTAGTTTGTGTGTCATATGTTAAGCTATGGATTTAAGACAAAAAAAAATAGGCACGTCTAAGTTAGGGTGGTTCATGGAGTTAAGATAGTCTTTCTCACAGCATTCAAGGTAGGCTAGATTGACAGCTATTGGCCAGTGGAGATAAAGTATCCCGTGGCCAACCATATGTAAGTAAGTACATATATACTCAACTAAAGTATGTGACTGTTTTCTGTTTTCACAGGGCAACCATTCACCATTTTCTGGATGATAGTATAGATTGGAAAATATCAGGAGAAAGAGACACGAGACTAAAGGAATTTTCTACTTATTCGACTTATTTCGAGTTACTCTTTTCCAACATAAACATCCCAGGGAACAGAACATTGCCTTTAGTTTTTCTTCAGTGGTCTATTTTTCTGACTGTGCCGACATTGGCGTGATTGACTCAGTTTTTCCAAATTTGTTAACTTCTCTCACATCTAACGGCAAGCTCAGGAAAAGGGATGTTAGATGAGCTGATATGTGTCGGCAGTTGAAGACGTGGTTGGTTTTGTCGAGGCATCTTATTCAAATTAACCTGAACACTTGAATTTGCTAGAATATCCAGAATGGAGTTGTGTCAAAGTGTCGCCAGCCTCACAAAGCAACGCGAGCTTTTCACCTACGATAAGTGGGCTGGTCTCCCATGGTGGAATTTACGAGGTGAGAGTTGACGAAGATATTGATTTATTCTTGATGAATGGCCTGCGTATAATTTGTACAGTTAGTCTGGTTCAGCGGACTGTTGTTTTTTCGATCTAATCTTGTTAACATCGGTGAACCCCATTAGGTGTGAATTTTTAACTCCTTTTTTTTTGTTTTACTTGTAATTGAAAATACTTCGAACTTATTTTGCCTTATTGATTCCTTAATTAAAGCCGTACCTATTTTTAAACAGTCATATTGTAATTTTGGTCATAATTTCGGACTAACTGTAATTATTACTTTGGAGGAAATATGTAAAGTAAAACCGGTGTATCCCCATTTTTCTTAATTTGAAAACAAAGAATTGAACACACTAACCGGCACCCTTCAGGCCAGCCGCAGATTTTGCTGGCATAACTTTTTTCACACCCAAATGATCGGCGCCTACATATTATTTTACTTTCTGCGAAATTACAACACATCTCGAATCGATTATCGCCTCTAACCAAAATATTAATTAGTCTAAATGTGCGATACAACAGTGCGATACAATATTTGTGAATGAAATACATAAATATTTCCCAAATGAAATGGAAATATGCAACAGCTCGAGTAACATTACTTTCGATAGCTGGCATAATCTGATGAACAGCAGTTGGTTCAATTAGAGCTCAGCAGCATCATATCGCAGACCACACACGGTTAACACTGCTCAGCTTAATCCACAGCTTTATGAGAGCAAGCGCTACTGTGCTGTTGCCACTTTTTTATTAAGTATTTTGATTTTGATTTCGTTCCAGGTTTGTTTGGTTTAAATTTTTGCTACCAACATGTGCACTTTTAATACCAATGTTGTTGTTGTTGTTGTTGTTGTTGTTGTTCTTTTGATGACTCCAATTCGCTTGAGATAGAGTACGGGTTTCTTTCGTTTGTTAGTTGCGCTGGCTTGTGATGTGAAATTGTTAATGTCACAATTGCGCAATAATGAGCGGCTTTGGCGGAGATCTCAAGCTGAGCAATAATTGTGGCCAACTGCTTTGCTGTTGTTGTTGTTGTTGTGTAGAGCTTTTTCACAATGAGTCCAAACAGCGTTGCCGAAAGCTTTCGCTGAAAATCCGTCAATTTGCCCTAAAAAAATTGTCATGTCGCCCAAACAAAAAACGTCAAATTTTTATTTATTTTACTTTTTTAACAAAATCAAAAATACAAACGAAAATGTTTTTATATAAAAATTCACGTAAGACTTAGCTGTCATCGGTGGTATTAATGCTTACCTTGTATAACACTTCACACAAGAATTTACTATTAAATTGCAAAGTCAGAATTAAGATCAGTGATGACACTTAAGTCCCAGATGGGTTTTAACATCACAAACTAGTTTTTGTGAAAAATCGTCAAACGTCATTGAGCTAAAAAAAAAGCGTCAAAATGACGACGAAACCGTCAATTCGGCAACGCTGCGTCCGAAATATGTGTGATGGTGTATTATTTTGCATTTTCTTAAAACGAATTATCACACATCTAAAATATTAGCACAGAAATACAACCATACATACATATGTATAAGTATATGTAGCAACTGCAGCGTAAGCCAGAGGTTCCCAAACGTTTTTGCACCGCGGCACCCTTGTTGTGCTAAAAAAATTTCGCGGCACTCCTACTCTTCAGATGTCTAGGAAAACAAGAAATCGCAATGCAAACTTTATGCTCTTTTAGCTTTAATTTGAGAACTGAAATTGTTTTGATAATTTCATTATTTCCTCTAAGTTTATTGGGGCTCTTTGACAATTTTAGCCAGAAATCATTTGACGCTGAAAGCTCGCTGGTGTACATATTTGTTTTTATGTAAGCATTTGTTGAAAATACAGTCTCACATAGAAATGTAAAAGTAAAAGTCACTAGTATTTTTAATGAAATCTTGCCAACAGCAGTGGTCCATCCATCCATGGTTGCATCCAGAACTCCCTTGGCTCACTACGTAGTATTCAATTTTAAAAAGCTTAATTTGTCATCCCAGTAGGTTTACTCTTCGCGTCACATGAAAACGGGTTTGTAATCCAGCTGTAGACATCCTCAGAGTCAATGTTGGGAAAATATTCGACAATGGGTTTTTCTTAACCTTCCATGTTAACGCTGGTAATGCGCGTTAACGCTAAGAAAATAACTTTTATCAATTTTCTTAACGTTAACTTCGAAATTTTCTGATTCAATTTTTCGTTGACCAAACGTACTGGGGAACTACGCTTAAGAGCGAAATACAACACACAAGCGGCTTGACAAACAACCAAGCGAAATATCCCTTTGCTGCAAGCCATCTGTGTTGAGTATGGGAAGTTTAAAGAATTTGCCCGCGCCACTAGCGGCACCCCAGGCGTACGTACGCTTGCGGCACCCACTTTAGGAAAGCCTGGCGTAAGCAATTGCTAAGCTGCAGAGTTGGGATTTGAACGACTTTTTCACAGATGTTTTGTGCTTTTGAGATATCTGCAAAGCGGTCCGCTGCATACTATAAGCGGCAATGGCTCAAATATATATTTTTGAATGTACGAGCCGGCCTGCTACCTTCCTCGTCGCTTGGCGCTCCAATGCAATTACACTGTACATATGTATGTGAGAGTGTTTGTGTATTTGCGCTTGGCTTGACTTCGCCTCCGCATTATAATCCGTCAGCCAGGCGGTTAGTCAGCCAGTAAGTACCGCCTGTTAGCCACTCAGTCAATTGTCTCAGCCAAGTTTTTACTCATGCAAGTCGGTCGGTATGTATGTAAACATTGTAGTACAAAGTTGCATGTTTTTGGTGTTGTTTTGCCATCCCGTGCACTGCTGCTGCTTTACTTGGCTGGCAAGCGTTTTCAATTTCATTCAGTTGCTTTTCGGTTCGTGAAGTGATCTGCCGTACACCAAAAACGCGTCTGCTGCACATTTTCAAGCAGTTTCGCCTGACAAAAATCAACCAATTTTTTAGATTTCCTTTTTTGCAACAAACGTTAATACAAATTATAGGAAAATTTATAGAAATTGCGATCGGAAAAGTGAGTGAATTTTAAAAACGAAATGGGGCTATATTATTTTACAACAAACATACCTACATAGTACTTTTTATTATTTAGTGAATATTGTGATGATGAAAATATATATTCGAAAGACAAAGAAACTGAAAGTGAATAAGCAAGTAATTTTGAAAACCTAAATAGAAGGACTTTAATGTTATAATTAAAATTAAATGTTTGTGAAAAAAGAAGCAACACTTGGTCAATGAAAAGGCAAATAGAATAGTAAAGTATTTACATAGCTAGTAACATTAAAAAATATACTTTTTGAGTACCTATTACGACTCTTAGAATTTACGAGGGGTATTCACAAGGAAGTCGTAAAAGTTGTATGGTTGTGTGCTTTTAACTTTTAAACAGAGACCGTACTGGTTTTTTTTTTAAACCTAAAATATAAGTTAAATTTTGACTTTAAATATTTTAAGCGAAAAATACCGATTATTTCAACCTTTAATTTTTAAAGGCAAAAACAAAAAAAAGGTTTGTCTTGAAGAGAAAATAATCGGTAATGTTTGTTCTTTATTTTTTGGGCATTTTTCTCAAAACAAAGTTACGATTTGAATGATCTGTCTTTTACGAAACAGCCGGCGGTTCGGGATTCTTCGTTTCATACTTTTCGCGATATTTTAAGTAAGGAACTCTGCGGCATTACTTCGTTTTATATTTTTTGGGACTACTTCGGGATTCTCGGGCCTATGTCGAAATTTTCGGGACCGTTTCTTACTCTCAAGTCTGTTTCGGGACTATATCAGTATTGTTGGTACTATTCGGGGTTTTCAGGGCACTTTCAGGATTTTCGTGGCTATTTGGGGATTTTAAGTATTTTCGGCACTTCCCACACACAGGAAAATCAACTGTTTCCAATTTTCTTGCTATCACCCCCTGAGTGTGGTCCAAAAATAGAAAGTAAACTCAACTTTCTTGCTGTCACTTCCTATACAAAATGGCAAAAACGGGGACCCGTATTTTTTATTTTGAAATCAGTTATTATTTAACCGTGCCGCTGCACAGTGGAATGAGCTTCAATTATAGCGCACCAAAAGTCTTCTTGGCACAATCCTATAAGTATGTATAATGCAGGATTGCTGAACTAGTTTTTTATATTTATTTTTATGTTACAGTAATTTGGAGATCTAAAAAGATCTAAAAAGAAAAAGTTGTCTAATTCTCAAAAACTGATCTACTTATTTATATTTTTACTACATATTCGGATACAGGCGATATGGTGGTCACACGCTTCAGGTATGATTTCTTGTAAACTAGTATTATATTCTATCTTTTAATACCAGTAACACAAAAAATTAAAAACCAAATCGGCGTATCCATATATGGTGACCATTTTTTCAGAGACGATAACATAGTTATCTACTTAGATGGCAAACTTAATATTCAAAGGTTGCTATTGGTTGCAATATTTTTACGGGCTTTTATAAAAATAATAAGCGTAAGCGGTCTTAAGTCTTGAAATTTGTCTATGAGAACGACTAGAGTGGTTTTTGCGGGATTCGCTGTTATATATATTTTCTATCAGTTCAAAAGCATTTTGGTGTAGATAGAAATTCTTTAAAACCATTTTGAAGTCTTCAATACGTGTAATATATTTCATAGAACCGCTATAAAATCTTTAAAAATAAACATTTTTGAGCGAATAAAATCATTTCCCTTCAGAGATCTTCAAGGAATGTAATTAGTTATGAAACAAATTTGATTCAGAAATTTTAACACTTATGTTTCCATAATCTGCGTTATTTGGGCTCGAACACACAAAAATACATAAATACATAATTTTTTATACGTATAACTCTTTGAGCGGCAAAAATTTCAAGACTTTTTAAGCTCCTTAAGCGCTAAAGAAAATTTATTTTTGGTTTTTGCTTTAACAGTAAAAATTTATTGAATATGTATCAAAACTTAAAAACTATATATACAGTTTTAAAATATAAAAAACATTTAAAATTGAAATACATAAGTAAAAAATAAAATAAAATAAAATAAAATAAAATAAAATAAAATAAAATAAAATAAAATAAAATAAAAT